CCTCTCTCTCTCTCTCTCTCTCTCTCTCTCCCTCCCTCCCTCTCCCTCTCTCTCTCATTCTCTCTCTCCCTCTCTTTCTCTCTCTTCATACCGATACGAGTTCTCAATTTACATTCTATCACGATCTTGTACCTCACACATGTGTCACACATGTCTATACAGAATCCGCAAGTTAAAAGCGTCGATGTGCCTCTTGTCACTTTGTGATCGTCATTTCGAGAATCACCGTTTAATAATTCCTATCGCGTGATCTGTATAGATCTACGAATGAACACGCGAATAAGACGACGTCGCATAATGTATTTTTGAAATTTTAGTGCACGATATCTAGGCCGAATGATTCGACGAGAAATGCAAGTTTCTACACACGGAACGTGTATGATGTAAGCTAAAAGTACCCCAACATCTGAACACTAAAAACACTGGTACCTAATCCTGGACGTTCTTATAGTTTTGTTCTTTTTTTTTAAACGTGAATATTTAAACTTTTAATATAGAATATATATATGTATGCTAAGTATACACAGATATTCAGTGTTGAAAGTCTGAACGTTCGTATTTGAAAAGCAAAAGAGTAAGAATTGTTACAATTAGGTAGCTGTGTTATCAGAGTGTTCAGGCACTGGCACTTTCTCCTTAGTCGTTAACTCGCCCGGTTATGTTATCGGTTTTATTGTTTAACCCTCAACTTCAAGACCAATCCGCACTTCATACGTTCGCGATTAGATTACGCGTGTATTTACGTAACGTTCCTTCATTGTCTTGTTGTCCATAAAATACACTGTCTGATAGGCGTTGTGTTATTTCTCCGAGTTCTTTGTTCCTTTCTTTGTAGGCGCGTGCGTGCTGTTCGGAAAAACGTGTATCACATACATACGTAAAAAAAGAAATAAAACATATACACACGCGCACGCACGCACACATTTGTACCGATACAACACATGTACATACGTGCGTTTGACGCTTGTTTACGTCGGTTCGTTTTCTTTTCTTCTATACAAAAAGCGTGTGAAAATTTGCATAATCACTCTTTCTCGTTTGGCCGATGTGTGCGAGCGATCCGCATGGGAATAGAAAATTATGCTACATGCTCCACGATAAGAGAAGCGCGGATTATCATTGTCGTGTGGCTATCGCGCGACTCTTTCCCGATAATTCGACATCATACCACACGGAGTCTAGAGGTTTGGCTAATTGACAACTTAATTGCTCAATTAAGCGTGAATATCCACACGAGTATTTCCATGACAATCGCGGACACTTTCTAATGATAGAGAACCTTTTTTTTATCTCGTGAAGATCTTGGATCATATGACTGCTCGATTGTTCACATTATGTAACGACAATTGAATTAATGCGATGAGAAGATTTGTAATTCTTACACGTGATCCACACAGCCCTTACCGCATGATACGACGACAAAACGACTACGCTAATTGGACAAGCCTCGAGATAGGCGCACTGTGTGCGATACCGCTAAGTAGCAAAAAGGTTTTTCAAGATGTGCATTGTCAAACCTGATGGGAAGGGCCAACCCGAATCTCGCCCTGGGTGCCAGCTGACATCTCCCCCTCCTCCGAAGCTCCGCCGTCTTTCTCCAGCGTTTTGAATGCCTTTGATCTTGGACTTTCAGTAAATTCCTATCATCCACCCCCTGAATAGTTATGCCATCAATACGAGTGAGAAGATTGACTTGAGGGCGATTTGATAGAAAACAGAACATACACTGCTTAACATGCTCGCCATGGTGTCGCAAAGGCTACACCCTTCTTGGCACGAACGAATGAGAGAAAGGTATGATACATTTTCATCTTGTAATGCCAATCGTATACGAAAACAAACGCTAAATCGATTTATATATAGCTACGGAATCTTTGGTGAAACTTGACGAATCTTGAACAGTGCATTTATACGCGTTATCTATACGCAATGTTCAAATTAAGAGAGGACACTGCACTGTGTGTGTATGTATGTGTTCCTGTATGCATATTGTGGATCTACAAGACTTTCTCATTAGCATTATAAAAGTAAACATAAAGTCGCCTAGGAAAAAAGTAAATTTCAAAGCGAAAACACAAGAAATTTGTTCACGTTGTTTACGCTTTTAACATTTTTGCACTTGGTATGTTGCACTAATTCGTTTGAATTATTGGAAATTATGTCATAGCCGCTGTTCGTATTACGAGTATATATATGTACATATGAGTGGTACGAGTGTATGCACTTGTAACATTATTTTCGATAATTCAAGAGAATTTGTGCACGCTAAGAATGAAAGTAGTAAAAGTGCAAACAACGCGAACAAATCTCTTGCGTCTGACCTGGCTGTATCTGATCCAACTATACTTGCAAATGGAAACAAAGATAAGTGAGCACAAGATACACTTATGCTTTTGCATCTACGTTCTTTTCGAGCGATTGAAGAAGAAATAAGCAAAATTATACTAGTATAAGACACGTCTATTCTACGTATTATGCATATTATAGAGTATAATGTATCACTGTGTACGAAAGATGCAGTGTGTAATATTTATTTCTCTGTCTCATTGTTTCTCTCATCCTCTCTCACTCCCTTTCTCTCTCTCTCTCTCTCTCTCTCTCTCTCTCTCCCTCCCTCTCAACCGTCTCTTACTCTTCCTCTCTCTCCCTCTCAGCCACCTCTTGCTCATCCTCTCTCTTTCTATTTTTAAGTGGTCTTAAGTCACGGTGAAAGCAGTATAAACAGGCTAATTAACAAGCGCGAACAAGCTCGACCGCCTCGTCCCTCGCGCGACGCAACTCCGAAAAGACGCCGGAGACAGGACCCTTCGCGACTCTCGCGAGCGAGCGAGCGCGACCACGTTCTTCGACGAACGTGAAACAACTCACGAGCAAAACCGCGAATTCGAGGTCGGTGCCAAGGAATCGCGAGCGCGAGGAAAAGTGCGATCGTCGTGCAAGGTCGTAGCGCGCGTACGCACGCATCACACATACACACACGCGCGTACGCATACACACACACATACATACACACACGTACGCACGTATCTTCACACGATCGAGATCGAGCGGATCGACTCGACGCGGCGATAATCGCGTCACACGCTGTACAAACACGGCGTCTCGGCGCGAAACTCACGTCCCGCGGGAACGATCGACACGGAATATGCGGACACATGCTCTAGAAGGGCACCGAATTACTCACCCGTTGTCTCCGCGGTCCGGTCGGCAGCCTCTCTCAGCGACGTGCACGCGTCATCGTGCTCCGGCGGAGATGATCTGTTCTCGGCTTCGCACGTTCGCAGCTCCCACGCTGCGTGGGGATCACGACGGTGGGTCAACGTAACGCGGCAACGCACCGTCGCGTATGACGGCTGATGACGGGAGTCGTGCAGTATCTTCGCAGCGATCACTCGCTCGCAGAGGTGCAGCGGCAGCGGCGACTCATCGACCTCGGTGACTTCGGTACGGGATCAGTTTCCACAACACCCAAACGCAGCGGCCATAATGCAACGCAACGGCAGCGACGCGGCCGGGCATACTCGGGAAGTAATGTCGACCGTGTCATGCGCAACTTCGGGACCACTTCCGTTGTGCACCCTCGGCAATGAGCAGGGATGGGCAACGTTGAAAAGAGACAAAATCGACGTCATAGGGATCGATCACGAAAAGGAGCAACGTTTTTTATGATGGATTATATCCTAGAAACTATCCTAAAAATAATCGATGAATTTTTAGCACTTTTTGTAACCATGTAACGCTTATAAAATCATCAGTGATGATAGTTAATATACAAACTCACATCGCTGAGAGAGAGATGAAGAAAACTGTTTGGAAATGAAAAGATATACTTCGCTGTTGAACCGTAAAACATTTAAAAGTAAAAAAGTACGTCTAACCCTATCGTTGACTTCTTCATTCATTCTTCAAGACGGTGGCGACTCGTAGCGGAGACTTTGAAACTAATTGAAGTAACGGGTCGAAACAGGCGAAATAACGGGTCTAATTTAAGAAAAACGGAGAAACTTTTTATTCTTTATTTGCACGAATGCATTGGGCAGACTTTTGTTTGTTTAATTTATTAACGAAGAATATAATTCTCTCTGACCTGGCTACATTAAAAAAAAAGTTCCAAGCGGACTATCGACATAAGCACGAATCGATTTAAAGTCGAAAAGACAATCGATTATTGATCGAAAATAAAATAGAAAATAGAATCGAATATCGATTCGTTGGTCGAACATACTTCTGTAGTTGATGCTGGGCGCTGTTTTTCCTAAATTTTTTCGTGTCATTTACGAAATAGCAAATAAGAATATTTGCACGAATATGGCAAAGAAAAGCGCACTTTTGGTGATTGCCGATGGCTCGGAGGAAATGGAGGCCGTGATAACCGCTGACGTTTTAAGACGTGCCGGGGTAGGTTATTAAGAACGACTAATCTGCCAAAAAAAATTCCTCATAATTCTATTGCGAAATTTGTCGAAATTTTGATTATTCTCACATATCATTTACAACGAATAATAGCGACTAAACATGATAACAATTTAAATATACATATATATTTTCTAGTTATGTGTAATGAGTGTAAAGTTATATTTAATTGTTGAATAGGTTGTTGTTACCGTAGCTAGTCTGTTGGATGATAATTGCGTGAAATGCAGCCGTGATATTAAAATCTGTGCGGATGCCAAGCTCGCAGATGCCAGTAAGAGTCAAAAGTATGATGCAGTGATACTGCCCGGTGGCCTGGGTGGATCAAAGGCATTTGCATCAGTATGTTCATTTGGTGATATTTGATATCACACTACATGATTGATATATATATGCAAAATTTCTGTTTTCTTAGTCTGTGGCAATAGGAGATCTATTAAAAGAACAAGAGAAAGAAGACAGAGTGATAGCAGCTATCTGTGCAGCCCCTATAGCTTTGAAAGCTCATGGGATTGCCAAAGGAAAGCAAATTACTTCTTATCCATCGATGAAAGATGAACTAGTCAGTGAATATAATTATTCAGAGGACAAAGTGGTGACAGATGGTAATAATTAATTTTTGAAACAAATAAGTTTACATGAAGATCACATTGGAATTGATGTGAATATTCCTACAGGTAATTTGATAACAAGCAGAGGACCAGCAACAGCCTTTGCTTTTGGTCTGGCTATTGTTGAAAAATTATTGGATAAAGAGACAGCTAGTACAGTGGCAAAGGCAATGCTATACACTGACTACAAATAAAACTCCTCTTCAAAATACTATTTTTATAACCAAATAAGATATACATATGTAGAATTGTGAGTGTGATATATTTTCGATTTTTCAAGTATAGAATTTCTTTTTCTAAAGGGGAAAGAGATAATATGTAATTATCCTCGATAAAAAAACAACGATAATAACAAATGTAAATATGACGAGCTTTATTATTAGTCCTATAAGAGAAGAATACAAAATTCAGTTTTTGATAAAGAAAAAAAAAAGAGGAGATGAGTAGCAGGTGCAGAAGGTACGCAGCTGCGACGAAAGAAGCTCCATCTGCTGGCGCGTTGGTCTCCTTAAGAAACCCGCGGACTACTCTCGACAATTCAGCGTCCCTACGATCGCGATTAGACGCATATAAAGCGCGGGGAGACTCACTTCAATGACTAAAACGATCGGCGCGTAAAGAGCGGTGTAAATAAATGGTCACGATGAAGTACGTTTACTGCGGGCGCGCGGCGCGTTAGTGATGCCGGCTTTAGACGAGAGTATTTCGCACGACACGACGAGCCCGCCCACGACCACGCACGACGGCCTAATGTCCGATGGTGCTTCCGACGGAGTTTCAGCTTCCGATGGACTTTCGTCCGAGAAAGTGAAGACATTTGTTTTTACGTCGTACAGGACTGCGCAGGACGGCACGCAGAGCGAGGAGAGTCTGGAGATTCGCATACTCGAGGTAAGCGATGCAATAGGATTCTTGCGAAATGGAAAAGTGCGCGAGTCTCTCCGACGAGATGGCCGGCCGGATTCCTCGGCGACGAACGCAAGCTACCGGTATTACGCGCACTTTTCGGTTAGGTCGCTCGTGCGAATCAACAACATGGCTGGTCGGGCATCTCCGGCGATGTCCCGACACCACCGGCTACCCTTTTTTCGGAATTTTCTCTGTGAAAAGTAGAGCGAAATGTTCAAGAAAACGCATCGCCGGTGAAGAAAACGTGTGAATAGATCAGAAGCGCTGGTGCGTTCTTACCATGGCAGAAAGTCACGTGTATCAAAGATATGATGCAAAATATAAAGTAGAATTTTGCGGCGATAAAAGCCGTGGAACTTAACATTCCAATTATTTTCATCGTTTCCGTCCGTATTCTTTAATGCTACAAAACGCAGAATCGTCACGAGATCGTGACTGAAATAATCGTATTATGTAATTCAGGTCTGCTTTTTATCACTGAATTAGGGTACACTTAAGGCAAATGTCCCAACAATTAAAACATTAATAATACATTTCATTTATTATTATTACATTTATGTAATATTTCTAAAAAAGCCTTTGAAATTTTGCGAAAAGATATTTTTTTGTGTCAATTTGTAATATTATTTAATGAGTATTCAATTATTGTGTCCATGTATTGATGAAGTGAAGCTAGTGCAGCCAGTTCAATAATAGAAAACAAACAACATTGCAAAAAATTGCAAGCCTAGTTTATTAAAGATCTTTATATTTTTCATATTAAAATTCAACAGTAAACTAAAACATTTTTTAAAAAAGACAAGATTCTACTGATATCAAATCAAAATAGAAATTAATAGAGACTATAAAATAATTATCAATATAACTAACAAGGAACCCCACATAGGTGTTTAGCTCCGTTTGGATGAGTTTGAAATATATTGTAATTCAAGCCAAAAGAAGAGACACGTATTTTTTTATACGTTCCCAGGTGGACTTTTAGGGGGCAAAACACCCCTTTGAAAAAAATTGATTTTTTTCTTTAGGAACATGTTTTGTCAAAAGTACAAGAGATAGAAAAAAATTTTCTAGACAAAAATTAAATGATTTCTTCTGGTCTAAATTACAATATATTTCAATATATCTCATCCAAATTGGAGTTAAACATCTATGTGGGTTCTTGTAAAAGTAGACTTGAATAAATATATGACTTTTGACTTGAGTTATACTGATAATTGATTTTGTTACACTACAACAGCTATGTATAGGCTCTCATAGGCCTTATAATTTTTATTTTAATTCAATGGTCAACTGTGTTCCTGATAAACATACCCATGGTTGGTTACAGTTGCTAGAGGCTAGTTACAGCTTCTACATCTGGCCCTGCGCACCTGTGCTCGCCCTGTTTCTCTGGGAGCATAGGGACGATCTGGTTGGCAAGCACGTGTTGGAACTTGGAGCTGGTACTTCATTACCTGGCATTCTTGCTAGCAAGTGTGGTGCCAGTGTGACTCTGAGTGATTCCGCAAACAACACTAGGGCACTGCAGCATATCAGGAGATGCACTGAGCTGAACGGAGTTCAAAACCAAGTACGAATCATTGGCATTACTTGGGGCTTGTTCCTTAACAGTTTATTCACACTTGGACCATTGGACCTGATCATTGGCTCAGATTGCTTCTATGAGCCCACTGTATTTGAGGATATAGTGGTCATTGTTGCATTCCTACTGGAAAAGAATCCACACGCAAGGTTCCTCTGTACATACCAGGAACGCAGTGCTGATTGGTCAATTGAGCATTTCTTGAACAAGTGGGGTCTTACGTGCACACACGTACCATTGGACGATCTTGGGGCGAAATCCAACGTCAGTGTGGACGAGTTGATGCAAGCTCATACGATACACTTGCTGGATATACGACGACGATCGTGAGAATAGAGTCCACTATAAGGATAACAAAGCTGAGTACAAGTTATGGCCAGTGCTAAATACATACTTCAGATTAACAACATTCCTTGGACGATAGGCCGTCAACAGTTAGCACAATATTTCTCCCAGTTCGGCTACGTGCGCAATGCCACTGTAGTGTTCGATAAAACAACTGGTTTCAATCAGGGTTACGGCTACGTCACATTCGCGAAGAAGGAGGACTTAGGCTTCGTGCTGGAGAACAAACACTCTCTAGAAGGGAAGACTTTGTCATTAAAATATGCCAAGTTAGATCTGAATGACGATATATTTAACTGAAGGGAGAAGAGACGCGTGAGTTGCCACACAATGGCGGAGTGCGACTTAAACGTGACGGATCTGGAGGACAGATTCAATAGAGCTAGCAAGTATATGCAATCATTAGTGTCAGAATTAAATACGGATCAACTGCTCACATTTTACGGTTTATACAAGCAAGCCACCGTTGGACCTTGCGACATCTCGAGGCCCAATTGGTACCAGGTGCAAGCCGTACGCAAGTATGAGGCGTGGAAGAAGCTCGGTGATATGAGCCAGGAGATCGCAATGGCCAATTACATCGACGTCATCGCGAGGGTGAATCCGTCGTGGGAGGAAGAAGCGAAGTTCGAGGAATCTCGTGGATGGACTTCTGTCAGCAAGTTACCCAACACAGATGCGACATTAAAGGACACGGAGAAGACATTCTTGGATTGGTTGAAGGAGGGTAATGAGGCGAAGGTGCGGGAAATGGTGGGCAAGGAGCCCAGACTCTCGGAGTGGATGGACGACATCGGTTTATTACCCATACACTGGGCCGCGGATCGAGGCCACGTCGAAATCTTAAAGTTTTTGGTCGAACAAGGTGCAGATTTAAATTCGCTCGACTTGGAAGAGCAAACACCCCTTCACTATGCGGCATGTTGCGGTCATGTGGAAGCAGTGAGGTACTTACTCTCGATCGGAGCTGATACATCTCGGAAAAATGGAGATGGTATGACACCCAAAGATATCGCCATTGATTCGACTAAGGATCTCTTCTGCTAACGCTATACACTTCATAGTGGTGTACACATGCACGCAATATGATAACGATTGTTACTCTGTTTGAATATATTAATAAATTTTCGATGGATTAATAATTTTTTCTACGGTGGTACACGATAACGATTGATACCTAGGTCCATTACCTTTAGAATTCCAATAGAGAGTAAATCTTTATTTATATACAAATAAATCCTCTAGTAGTCCATTACATTCACAGCCTAAGCACACCTTAGATAAATGCGTGATTTGTCATTGGCTAGGTTTCTTTTTTTATAATTCTTCCGTTGCCTAATTTTAACATTGGAAACTGTGTACCGATTGTAAACTTAGAAAGATATATTAAGCGCACGGGAACCTGTGGAGAATGCAAGGTTTGTTATTACTCATAATAACGGTTAAACTCACATATGAAATAACAAATGAAAACGCGTCGGTTCTTATAATAATTTATACAATTTAGAACTCCACGTTATCAAACCGTTTTACTTCGGTTTCTTTTTTATAATTTCGTAAAATATAATTGTTTACATGATATATCTCTATATTTTTTAATTAGTAATTAAAAGAATATTCCATAATACTGTATTAATTTTTAGAGTTAACATATATATATATATATATATATATATATATATATATATATATAT